GTGTGTGTGTGTGTGTGTGTGTGTGTATCTGGAGAGTGTGTGTGTGTGTGTGTGTGTGTCTGGAGAGTATGTGTGTGTGTGTGTGTGTGTGCGCGCGCGCGCATGCGCGTGTGCATGCGTGTGTGTACACCTGCAGTGGTCATGCTGGGATGAAGTGTCCTCAGCGTCCATCCTGAGGCAAGAGCACTGTTACAGAGGACCAGGCTTTCAACCACCTCAGCTTTAGTCTAAATAAACACTTGTAAACGTGCAGCTGGGGAAACACGAGCAGGCCCACAGAGCATCATACTGGGAGGGCTCTTTACTCCATTCCTCTTCACGTGGGAGACAGACTAAAGAACACAGAAGCCAATAGTACAAGCTGCTTAGGGCTCAACCCTTACACTACCACCTACTAGCTGTGTGACTTCAGGCAAGTGCCTTAACCTCTCTAAGCTTTGGTTTAGTCCTTACTAAGAAAGAACAATGAAAAACACCAGGATCTTAATTGGAAGAGTTCATAAAATAATATGTATATAATGTCCAACAGACAGTGCTCAATGAATGCCATCTTGACCATTGTTTCCAAGGCCAGAGGAAAGGGAATCATTGAGATGGGGGAGGGGATATCGCCTAAGGCTCTTGGTCCCTCCTCCATTCCCTCTGTAAGTGTTTACCTCCCAGCGTACCCTTCCACCTGCCTGGTCCAGCCCCAGCCCCAGCCCCAGCCCCAGCCCCAGCCCCAGCCCCAGCCCCAGCACTCAGCCCCAGCCCCAGCCCCAGCCCCAGCCCCAGCCCCAGCCCCAGCCCCAGCCCCAGCACTCAGCCCCAGCCTCAGCCCCAGCCCCAGCACTCAGCACTCAGCCCCAGCACTCAGCCCCAGCCCCAGCACTCAGCCCCAGCCCCAGCCCCAGCCCCAGCCCCAGCACTCAGCCCCAGCCCCAGCCCCAGCACTCAGCCCCAGCCCCAGCCCCAGCCCCAGCACTCAGCCCCAGCCCCAGCCCCAGCCCCAGCACTCAGCCCCAGCCCCAGCCCCAGCCCCAGCCCCAGCCCCCAGCACTCAGCCCCAGCCCCAGCACTCAGCCCCAGCCCCAGCCCCAGCCCCAGCACTCAGCCCCAGCCCCAGCACTCAGCCCCAGCCCCAGCCCCAGCCCCAGCACTCAGCCCCAGCCCCAGCCCCAGCCCCAGCCCCCAGCACTCAGCCCCAGCCCCAGCACTCAGCCCCAGCCCCAGCCCCAGCCCCAGCACTCAGCACTCAGCCCCAGCCCCAGCCCCAGCCCCAACACTCAGCCCCAGCCCCAGCCCCAGCCCCAGCCCCAGCCCCAGCACTCAGCCCCAGCCCCAGCCCCAGCCCCAGCCCCAGCACTCAGCCCCAGCCCCAGCCCCAGCACTCAGCCCCAGCCCCAGCCCCAGCCCCAGCCCCAGCCCCAGCACTCAGCCCCAGCCCCAGCCCCAGCCCCAGCCCCAGCCCCAGCCCCAGCCCCAGCACTCAGCCCCAGCCCCAGCCCCAGCCCCAGCCCCAGCCCCAGCCCCAGCCCCAGCCCCAGCACTCAGCCCCAGCCCCAGCCCCAGCCCCAGCCCCAGCCCCAGCACTCAGCCCCAGCCCCAGCCCCAGCCCCAGCACTCAGCCCAGCCCCAGCCCCAGCCCCAGCCCCAGCACTCAGCCCCAGCCCCAGCCCCAGCCCCAGCCCCCAGCACTCAGCCCCAGCCCCAGCACTCAGCCCCAACCCCAGCCCCAGCCCCAGCCCCAGCCCCCAGCACTCAGCCCCAGCCCCAGCCCCAGCACTCAGCCCCAGCCCCAGCCCCAGCACTCAGCCCCAGCACTCAGCCCCAGCCCCAGCCCCAGCCCCAGCCCCAGCCCCAGCACTCAGCCTCCCCACGCTGTGCTGTCCTGCCAGCTACATGAATGGCAGGAGGGAGGGGCTGTTGCTAGGCACCCTCACCCACAGATCACCCCTACCTATTCTGATCTCTGTTCCCCACCTTCCTGACCCTGGCTCCATGCAGAGGTTTGAACCACTCCATTTTCCTCTCTATACTATCTATGGAATCCTTCCTGAGCTCTGGGGTTTCACAGCAAGGAAAGAGTGACAATCTCTCCCCTCCCCCCCCCATCAGTGGTCCCTGGGGATACCAGTGACAGAATCCCCTGGGAGCGGCTCAAGATAGGGCTCCAGCAGGGTGTGATGTCACATGCCTGTAGAGGCCCAGGCAGGAAGGTTGCAAATTCAAGGCCAGTCTAGGCTTCAGAGTAAGACCCTACCTATAAAACAAACAAACAAAAAGGCACACAGTCCTGAGTTTCACAGTTCCAATGCCTTCTCAGGTATGGATGTGGCTGGGCTGAGGATCACACTTGATCACCACTGATCCACTGCAAGCCGTAATCCCAAGTGCAGAGAGGAAAGGGCTTTCCCAGAGAAATCAGGCCAAGGGCCACCAGAAACAGCCCAGAAAGGCCTCAACTGGGGCCTAGAGCCTACAGGGCAAGGCTAGAAGAGCAGGTAAGGTGAGCTAGTGTCGCCAGCAGGTAACTACATCCCTACCCTGGGACTCATCAGACAGCTCCTTTGTGCCAGGTCCCCCTGTAGCTTCCTAGGCTGCACTGTCCTCTGCCTGCCCTGTCTGCAGCTAGGTAGTGTCCCTGCCCCAGGCCTGGCTTTCATTGATTGCAGTGGTGGTTGTCGGTGTCAACTCCCACCTTCCCCGGGCAGCTCCCTGGTACTACTGGAAACAGACTAGGGTGCTAGAGGTGTATCAGGTGAGCCAACATGCACACTATGGGTGTGGGTGGCGGGGAGGAGGCCTGCTGGCCCCGGCCGTGGTCCAGCGAATATGCGCTATCAGCTCTGGGATCTGGGCTGGGTGTGTGTTTGTTGCCGCTTGAGCCAGAGCAGTTACTATGGGTAGATAATAATAGCAGTCGTAATCCCTCATAATTGGACCAGACTTTGCTGTCTGCAGGGCACTTCTATGCCCGGGAGTCCATGCCTGTGACCTCATCTGACCTGCGCTGCCGCCTGTACAACAGGCAAGGCTAGAGTTACTCTTCCCATTTTCCAGCTGAGCAAACACAGCCCAGATGGCCTGAAGTTACATTTCCAGAAAGAAGTTTCCTTGGGCTTGGGGCCTGGGCCTTCTGCATCCTTGTGCAGTGCTCCTTCTCTACTCCGACTCTCACAATCCAGAGCCTGCCCTGTTGCTGGTGGAGGGGGTGTCACAGTGCAGTCACGGAGCGGGGAGTTTGTCCCAGCTATGGGAATGGCCGACTAGTAACCACCAGTGCGACAAGGTGACGGTGGGTAGCACCGGTCGGGATGTGGGACTCCAGGTAGGGAAGATCCAGAGAAAACCAGTCGTACAGGGAAACAAAGCCAGGAAGGAAGGGAAATCACTATGGCCTCAGGTATCACCAGACACACAAGAAGCTGCAGATGTCCTAGGCATGGTAGCCCCAGGTCTGACTCTCTCCCTGATCAAGTCCTGAGCCAAGAGCAGCCCAGAAAACCTGTGGGCTAACCTGGACAGAAAGAAGGAGGCAGACTTGGAGCCCTAGGCATCCTGGACCAGGGCCCAGGCACAGGGTGCTCAGCGTGCTCTGCCCACTGTGTCCGCTCCTCACCCTCCCTCACAGGCTGGACTCTGTGCACACCTGGGATGGGTGGCCATTCACAGTAGGACTCCACACGGGACCTGGGGAAGGGCTCAGATCCAGGAGGTGAGGAAGGCTCTTGTCTGGACCTACCACTGTGTGGCTGTGCTTTGAGTCCCCTGCTGAAAACCAGGGCCATCTGTCTTACCCCATTTGTCTCAGGGTGTTCCCAAGACAAATGGAACAATGGGTGGAAGGTACCCAGAACACAGAGACCTGCTCCAAGAAGGAGCGGGCTGGGAAAGAAGCTGAGCATCTGGAGGGCATCTAAGGGCTGTGCCATAAGGTCCGTGGTATGGAATGGGGTGCCACAGCACTCAGGGTGTCTGCCGAACACCCTGGTCTCACGAACAGGCCCTGCTCTCCCAGACAAGGCAGTACCTCACCCCTCCCAGGGCTGGGGTGGGGAGACAGGGACTGCAGAGAGTGCTGTCACAACTTCCGTGGGAGCTGACTCCTCCTTCAGAGGGAAACAGAGTCCAAGTGCTGGAGTTAGAGGCAGCGCTCCCTATGGGTGGTCCTAGCTTGGAAGGTCCTCAGGTAGCATTTAGGGACCTAAAGGGATTCCCACCATCTGATAAAATCCCTTTTGAGGGACGTAAGCCCAATCAGAAGTTTGGCTGAAGGGTGAAGAGCTCACCTCTCAAGGGGGGGGGCATCAAAGATGATGCAGAGGTCTCTGGGAGCCTGGAGCGGAGGGCGGAGTGTCACCCTCTCCAAGGGCCCCCAGTGCCTGGGGCCTGGCCCTAAGCACCAAAAGCAGCAGGCAGCTGCGTGCGTGCGGGCGGGCGTGCGTGCGTGCGTGCGTGCGTGCGCGCGCGCGCGCGCGCGTGTGTGTGTGTGTGTGTGTGTGTGTGTGTGTGTGTGTGTGATGGGCCGATCACTGTATGGCTTTAGCACCCCAGGAAGCAGGTAGCTGCGTGCGGGCGTGCGTGCGTGCGTGCGTGCGTGCGTGCGTGTGTGTGTGTGTGTGTGTGTGTGTGTGTGATGGGCCGATCACTGTATGGCTTTAGCACCCCAGGAAGCTACTTGAACAGCAGGGAGACAGAAGCAGCGCCAAAACAAAGAAAGCCGACCCCTACCATCTGCACAGACCCAGGGTCCAGCCTGTGCCAACAAACACCAAGGTAGTTTGAAAGTCAGGGTCCTGGAGCTGGACCTCTTGGCTCAAATTCCTGTTCCACCACCAGAGCTTACCATCTCTAGGTCTCTGCTTCTCTGTCACCAAAGTCAAGAAGCCAGAGGCATTCCACCAGTTTGGAGTTTGGGCCGAGTGAGTGCCAGCCTCCCCCTCATTGTAAGAGTGGGACCCACCCCCCTGTGACTGTCACCACAGGGTCCCGGAAGAGATGAGTGATGTGCTACTCACCTTTCTGTCTTCCTCTCGCTCCGCAGCGGAGCTGCTGGTGTCGCTGGGGCCGCCGGAGGGCATGGCGGGCAGCTGGGCGGTGGGAGGCAGGCTGGGGCTTTGCGGGGTGGAGAGGCTGCTAAGCTTCGGGGAAGGAATTATCGTGGTCTTTGTAAGCAAGAGTTAAAACTGAAACATAGATCCCCGTGTCAAGCCCTCTGGTGAGCTGCTGCCTCGTCTGTGTGGGGGTTTGGGCTCCCCAGTGGCTCCACCTGTGAGGAAGAAAAGCTGGTCAGTAGCGTGGAGCCCAGGACCCAGGGCCTACCTGACCCAGGTCCCTCCAGGGGGTGAGTCCCCAGGACCAGACAGGCCAGGGAGGGCCTTCTCTCTGACCTCTCTCCTCCTCCCAGTCTCACCAGGGAGCGGGAGACTGAGGCAGGCACAGCTGGAGGCGATGACCGTCCCCAGAGCCTCCAAGTGCGGTGGTGGCGGTGGCGTGGTGGGGGCCGCTTCTGGGACTTCCAGCCTCCTCCTGCTCCTCCCTTCTCTTCATTCACGGCTGTTCTTCCCTTTGAACACTTCCCACACCCTCCCTCCCGCCCCAGCCGGCCCCTGGGAAACCCCAGCCTCCCCCAGAGGCCCCCAGCCCAACTACATTTTCCTTCTAGTCTGTCCTCACCCGACCCCCCACCCCCACAGCACTCCTGCCACGTGGAGGAAGTGAGCCGCAGTCACAGGATGTAGTGAAATGAATGTCACCTTGCTTTTAGGACCAGAGCCTGGGCCCTGCAACGCAGAGGCAGAGGCCGGAACCCAGGTGGCCCTGGGCATCCGCCCCTTTGCTGGGCTCCAGGGCCCTGGCAGGGGGGGGGGGCTAGGATGTTGAAGAAGGAGGCCAGCCCTGCTGTCCCCAACCCCAGAAATGACTTCTTTCCCCTTCAGAACTGTTGGGCCTGAGTAGGCCCCCCGCAAAACCGCCTAGCTGAATTTTAGGGGCTTTTCTTCTTCTCTGCTCCAGGTGGGGGCCAAGCCAGTGAAATCACAAAGCCTGTGCTTCCAGCCACGACTGGAAGGGGGGGTTGCTGTATCACCACCCCCCCTCACCCACCAGAGCAGGCAGTTCTCCAGATCCCACCCCCAGGGAGAGTGCCAAGCCCCTGCCGGAGTGTGAGCCTGCCTGGGAGGGGATTGGCAGAGGCAGGAAAGCAGGAGGCAGCTGGATCAGGCCCACCCACGCCCGCCCGCCCATCCCCTTCCAGTTCCCCCTTTCTGCTTCCCTGCTCCCCTCCCTCCTGGGCTTTTCCTCCCTTCCCCCGCCAGCTAGGGCTCCCTGGAAAACCAGGAGCCTGGAGACGGCACAGGGTAGGCCCTCCCCAGCGCCAACCCAGTCCTGGGGGGGTGGGGGGGGGGTGCCCCGCACTGGTTCTGCTTTAGGAGAAGCCAGACTGAACCTTTGCTAGGCGGAACATCCTGAGGGCCAAGATAGGAAGAACCCAGAAGTGAAAAGCCCAGTCTGTCTAGGAAGACTTATAGCCTTACAACTGCCCCAGAGAAGGCCCCAGACCACACCCCTCTGTGTGGCCTCAGGCTGGGCTTAATGAAGGCAGGTCGTCCAGTACCTGAGAAGGTGGACACACAGTGAGAGGCTCCATGGCAGACACTGTGAGAGCGCGTGACACGCTTCTGCTGCTTTCCTAGTTTATAGCTAGAGCCTAAGGCTCAAATGGTTAGGGCCTGTCCAAGGAGTCAACTTGCCTTCTTGACCCTGAAGCTTTTAAGGCATGGTTCACTCAGAAGCTAAGTGCCCCACCCCACTCACTCCATTCCACAGAAACCACCCTCCTGAACCCACCAGAGAACTCGACACCCAGAGCTCTAGATGGCTTCGTCCACTCTTGGGCAGTAATTTCTCCTCGGAGTCCAGCCCCTAATTGTGATAACAATCATCTGCAGTCATCCCAAATCAAAGCCTTCAGGAGGTAGAAGCCGACCAAAGCACACTGGTTGGAAACAACATTCAATACAGAGCCAGCGGCTTAGAGTTTGGGCCCTGATGGCCTTCTCTGGTCCTCTGGTTCCTCATCCGTACTTGAGGAGAGCCGGGCTGGCTGATCTCCACATTCTAGCTCTGATCTGCTAGCTCTGATCCGGCACACTGCTGAGAGCCCACAGGCCTGGGAGAGGGGGTATGCCAGACAGACAAGGTATGTGTGAGGGTGATAGGCAGACAAAGCAGGGTTCCCTCAGGGGCCCAAGAATGAGGCAGAGGACACCAGGCACAAAAGTAAGCGGTAGGAGTTGGAGGTCCAGAGACACCTGGGGCACCTCCTCTGACCCAGAGCAGCGCTGAGAGGAGCCGTGGGAGAGGCAGGAAGCTGGCACAAGTAGCAGAACAACACGGGGCATTGACCTTGAAGGCAGACACCCCGGAAGGGAAAGGGGAAATGTGTCTTCCTCCTCCCAGGCCCCTGATATCCGAACTGTATACAGAAAACAGCTGATCTGGGTCAATCCTGCTCCCTTTGTGTTGGCCAATGGTTCAGCAGTGTAAGTGGCCCTCAAAATCGCTCAGCAGCAACTAAAACCATCCAGTATGTGGCCAGGTGAGGCCATTCAACTCTACAGGCCTCATCGTGTGGCCGAAGTACTAGGCCTGGACACAGACTGGCCCTACCTGCCTTGAGAGTCTCATTATTCTCCCAGGGAGTGGGCCACGGGAAGAAGTCTGTACCTGGGCCACTGCCTCAAGCCAGCAGCAGATGCCCACCATGTCTTATGGCCTTGCTGACCTCAGCACAAGAGAACCCTCCTTACTCAGGCTGAAGGCAAGGACACGAAATCCACCACCACAAAAGATCTTCACCAAGAGCCCTACCGTTCTGACCAGCATTTTTTATTTCCTGCCTGAAGCTTTTTCATGATGTTTAGAACAACGATGTACAAATACTTAAGGGATACCATCATGAAAATGTCTTGCATCATCACCAATATGGACAGCATCATTGCTACATTGCTTATGAAGGTGCTGTGGAGGGCTGGGGTGTAGCTCGGTGGCCTTAATTTCTATCCTCAGCATCCCAAAATGAAACAAAACACTTATTGTGGACATGAGCTGGGATTGACCATGTACTACATTTTATCACGTTCCTAACCCAGCAGCAAATATTTCAGCAGATGTAAGATCACAAGATTGGGCAGGACAGAAGAAGGGTCACTACGAGAATGATTTGGGGATGTGGAAGGTTGACGATGAAGAGCCCCATTTGAGATAAGAGTGTGAAAGCCAATTTCCAACCTGGTGCCTGCCACAGCACCAGATACTCTGGACTAGGGGTGGAGAGGATGCCTGTGTGAAAACAAAAATGCTGATGAAGAAAGTGATGCCGAACCTACCTTCCCGGAGGTTCCTATTCCCTTGAGGGCAGAAAATAAGGAGATGGCAGTGTCCTGGCACAGCAGAGAGCAGACAGGCTCCCGCTGGGCTGGAGGACAGTGGGAGCCAGACCCTGCCACCTTTCTAGAGAGTCTCAGCAGTCCAAGAGAAAAGGCCTAAGGATGCCAACACTGACACCAATACCCAAACGGGGCGAAAAGGTTTGCTCAGGTCCACCAATGTGGGTCTGAAAGTTGACAAGCCCCCAATGTACTGAGCTTCCGATCAGCTTTTACTCCTTGTTCTTTTCTTTCATTTTGAGGCAGGGTCCCACCATGTGGCCCAGGCTGGCCTCAGTCTCTCAACCTTTCTGCCTCCATGTCCCAGGTGCTAGGATTACAGACATTCACCACCACGTCTAGACAGCCCCTAGTCTTTTTGTTTTCTGGATTGTTTGTTTGTGGTTTTCTTTCCCCATAATACTAAGGTTTGAACTCAGGGACTCAACTTCTACCACAGAACACTACCAGCCTTAGTTCCTTGTTCTTAACCCAAAAAGAACAAGTAAGGACAACTACACATTCAAGGAAAGCCTCTAACTTGGAAAATACAGACCCGAACAAACAAACCAAACCCAAATCAAATCAAACTCAAACAAAACATAACAACAAAAAGAACAGGAGGTAACAGACTTCATGCACAGAGAATGTGATAGCATGTCAACGAAACAAAAATACGATAATATGAAACAAAAATAGTCAGAGAGGGGCTGGGAAGGTGGCTCAGTGGTAGAGCGCTTGCCTTGCATGCCTGAGGCCCTGGGTTCGATTCCTCAGCACCACATAAACAAAAAGAAAAAAAGCCGGAAGTGGTGCTGTGGCTCAAGTGGTAGAGCGCTAGCCTTGAGCTGAAGAGCTGAGGTACAGCGCCCAGGCCCAGAGTTCAGGCCCCATGACTGGACTCCCCCCCCCCCCAAAAAAAAAAAAGAATAGTCAGAGAACAAATTTTTAGAAATAAAAGTCATGCTAGTAGAAGTACCAAACTCATTGGACAACTGGCAACAGAACTATGGGATGCGGGCTGGGAAGGTGGCTCAGTGGTAGAGCGCTTGCCTTGCATGCATGAGGCCCTAGGTTCGATTCCTCAGCACCGCATAAGCAAAAAGAAAAAAGCCGGAAGTGGTGCTGTGGCTCAAGTGGTAAAGCACTAGCCTTGAGCTGAAGAGCTGAGGGACAGCATCCAGGCCCAGAGTTCATGACCCATGACCGGACCCAAAAAACAAACAAACAAACAAAGAACTATGGGATGATTCAGAAGTTTCATTATTAAAGGAAATCAACATGCCCAAGAGACATCTGCATTCCCAGATTATTATTAGAGCTGATTATTGGAGCCCTAATCTTAATAGCTAAGGTATGGAATCAACCTATCAAGGATGAATTTATATATATATGTATATATATACACACATATATACACACACATACACACAACAGAATATTACTCAGTCATAAAAAAATTAAATATTGTCACCTGCAGCAACCTGAAGAGCCTAGAGGACATTAAGTGAAACATTACGCATAGAAAAATAAACATCACATACAAAACATTGACCTCTTAAAAGTAATGAGTATGGGATGGGAGTGTGGCTTAGTGGTAGAGTGCTTGCCTAGCATGCATGAAGCTCTGGGTTCAATTCCTCAGTACCACATAAACAGAAAAAGCCGGGAGTAACTGTGCCTCAAGTGGTAGAGTGCCAGCCTTGAGCAAAAAGAAGCTCAGGGCAGTGCCCAGGCCTTGAGTTCAAGCCTCAGGACTGGCAACAAAAAGAAAAAAGAAAAAAAAAAAAAGAAAAGAAAAAGTAGACTAGCAGATACCTGAGGATTGGAAGATGACAGA